GTACTCTCTAGGCTCCCCATCTCTGAGATAAGAAGGCAGAGCTTGCTTAGATGAAAGGCGAGGACTGGGACTTACAGCAAAGGGCCCTGGCCCGGCACCTAGCTCTCCCGCTGGATCAGAGCCAGTCCTGGGGAAGAAGAAGAAGGGGTCGGAGGAGGAGGAGGAGGAGGAGGAAGTGGTGCAGAGGTTGCACCAGCCCACCTTTCTGTCAATAGACCCCCCTCAGTCCCCAACTTCACGTTGACCCTTTTGGGCCAAGGCCCCTGGAGACTCCCAGGCCACTAAGGTGTCCTTTTCCCAACCACCAGGCCATTCTCTAGTTTTCAACGCTGCTCACAAGGCCTCCTGGCCAATCCTTGAACTTGCTGTGAACTTTACAGTGATCACCCTGCTCCCCAATGGCAGGGCCGTTGTAAATAATCAGGATGATGATAATGAAAAGACTTGTGCAGGCTGCGGCAGGAGGCCAACTAGACTCCCAGACTCGCTGGGGAATGAGGGATGTCACGTCCGGGGGACTGCTCTGTGTACTTAGCATTAATAAATCACAATAATTAAATACTGGTCCAAGTTATTTGAAATTCTTCCTTTCATTCCATGCAGCATTTACGGTAACATGAAGATGATGGCTGATTGTCCTCATTATGCGCTCTGAGTGCTCAGGGCCTGCTGCCTCCTTCCCATGGCCTCGCCTGCAACCTGGCCTTCATCTTGACTGTGAGCTCTCACTGTCTTTCCTCTACACGCACAGATGGTAATGGTGGACAGGACGATGGCCTGTGGGCAACGCCAGGGGCCACCTGGAGTCCAAATGCTCAGAGCAGGGGCTTTGGAGAAATAGCCACCAACACGTGTTCATCTTACTCTGGGTTAGGCACCATGCCGAGCTCTCCACCTGTGTTACCTCATTTAGTCCTCACAGCTTCTCTTTGGCAGATAAGAAAGCTGAGGCTTGGATCCTGGCCTTGAATCTTAACTCCAGTCTTCACCAGCATGTGTATTAGTCAGGCTAGGCTGGGCTCTGCTATGGTAACAAACATCTCCCAAATCTCAGTGGCTTTACACTGCAAAAGTTTATTTTTCATGCATGCAAAATCTTGTGTGGGCCTGTGACTTTGCAGGGCAGCTGTCCCCATGCAGGCACCCAGCCCTGCAGGCTGCTTCTGTGTCCTGGCTCAGCCATCTCCACAGAAGGTCGCCTTTGCCTTCACTGCAGGGCAGAGAAGCATATGGACATCTTCCTTGCCTATGTTGATGCTCCTGCCCAGAAATGACACACGTGCTTCCTCTCACAGCTCAGGATCCAGAAGCAGCCACATGCCCCATCTGATTGCAAGGGGTCTGGGGGTGCAGAGTATCCGGAGCCCTGGAGAGGAGAGCGGGGTGTGGTGAGGGCCAGTGGAGTCTCTACCTCGGCTCTGCTGATGCCTGGGGCCGGATAAGTCTTTGCCGCAGGGGCTGTCCTGTGCATTGTGGGATATTTATCAGCATCTCTGGCCTCTACCCACTAGATGCCAGTAGCACTGCCCGGTTATGACAGCCCCAAGTGACTCCAGACCTTGCCAAATGTCCCCTTGGGGGCAAAATTGCCTCCAGCTGAGAACCCCTGTCTACGCCACTGTGTGTCTGTGGGCAAGTCACTCAACCCTTCCAAAAATTCCTTTACTAATTTGAAATTTGAATTCCTAGCACCTTCCTGAGATACTGTGAAGAGGAAATGTCTTTGACGTGTGCGAACGTGCACAGCACTGAATACTACATCACTGGGGCCATGCTGTTCCTGGGGGTGGCACAGAAGAGGATCTCAATATTGACTGAAATGGTGGATGAATGAAAGAATGAATGATCAGGTCTGGCGTAGGACAGTGCTGAGTGAGGGGCAGTCCCACCCCATCCCTGATGACACAGATAGGGTTTTCTCGGCCTTTCAAGGAGAGAGGATCTGAGAGAAGAGAAGGGATGACCCCGCTGTGATTCTGCTCCCTGTGCACAGGATTTCCCCTCCCCACTCCCTCCCAACAGGGCTTCATTCTCATTGTTCTCACAAGGGCTAAGGTTAGGGCCCTTGTCTCCAGGGCTCCAGTCAGTCTTGCCTGGGAAGGGGCCCAGCCACAGTGGTCCTGCCTGAGGGTCTCCATCTGTAGGGAGTTGTGCTTCTGCTTGGGAGCACTCACGGGCATGGCCCAAGGCCAAGGTGTTGTGCGGTGTTGACTCTTGACCTCGGATCAATCTGCATGCTCAGCTGCCCTCTTGCTTTGTGACATTTATGTCAGGATGGTGGAAACTGTCACATGTCTTGCCACCGGGGACGTTTCCTCTCACAGTCTGGGCCTGCGCTTCCCCTCTTGCCCTGGTCTCATTTCCTTAGAGCCCTTGGTCTGAGTTCCCTTGCCCGGCTGGCTCCAGGTGCTTCCAGCTCTTGGTGAGATCACCCTGAGTCCCTGGTGGCCTCTTCTCGAAGCCTGTGCACCCAGCACCCCAGGCAGGTGTCTGTCCTCACTGCTGTCCCTTTTCCTGTCCTCTCTGCCTGGCTCCCCGCTCCCCCCGGCCTCTCTTCTGTACACTCTGTTTGGGGAGTCAGAAGAGCGCTAGGCCCCCTCCCAGGAGCCTGGTGCAGTGGGAGGAGGAGATGCCCAGGAGCCAGGCTGAGCTGGGTGGCATTCCAGCCTCCCTTTCACATTCTGGGTCCTTGGGAAATTGACCAGACCCGTCCAAGCCCCCATCTCCTCAGCTGCGAAGTGACAATAATAATGTTTACCCCAGAATTTGGAAAAGATTAGATTAAATAATTAAATGGGTTCCTCTGTGTTTCTTTTCATGAACTCTGCCCACCTCATCCTACACCATGAAGTTCTGTCTCCAAACCCTCACCTCCACCACACTGCTGCTCTCATGGTGCAGGGCTGGGTACGTTTTAACAGGGAGGCCCAAACCTTCCAACCCAAAGTTAATTTTTTATTTTCTCCAACTTTCACTTATTCTGTGCTGGGAATACAGGAATGATACAGAATTTGAGTGTAGATTGAAATAAATAATTGGTGGCATTGCAGGGTGATTGCACACCTGCGATGGAAATGTGAAAGACTACGTGGCTGCCCAGAGGGCCGCAGCGAGCAGCTCCTGCTGTGGCTGTGAGGACGGGAGTCCCAGCAGTGGAGCTGGGACTGCAGCGCAGAAGAGAGTGAGCCACGAGCGCAGTGGAAGGGGCCCACACAGCGCCACCGGGCAGGAGTTCAGCTGTGAGAGAAGACTCTGCAACGGCTGGGGACCAGCCAATCTTCCTGTTCAGCCACATGGCTGGTTTGCATCTTCCCAAGCTCTGGGCTTCACTTCTATCATCTCTGTGGGCACATTTGCCCCAGATACAGGAGGGTGTCCGGACTCTAATCCACTCCATGATTCCACACGTGCATGGATCCCGCACATTTGGCTTCTGGTTGGTGAATCCTGGTTAGGCACAGGTGGCCTTCTCTGTGTCATCCAGGAGATAGTTTAGTGGGTGCAAAAGCTGCGGGAAAATTGCAAGACCCCATAAGTGTGATGATCTCTTGTCCTGCCGTCATTTGTTCATGTCTCCCTGAGTCCACCCTCCTGGGTTTACTGGTGTCTCTTACGGGCCAGGCATGAGGAAGACACTCAAGGCCCTTCAGTCTTGCACTCAAGGGCTCTGCAGTCTGGGGAGAGATGACGCTTACTCTGATCCCTACAAGACAAGGTGGACACACACTGGCAGGACATAGGGACACTCTGTGTCAGCCCAGAGCAGCCGGGTGGTGAAGGCTGCATTCCTGGAGGTGCGGTGTGGGAGTTGGCCCTTTGAGATGTGGCGTGACATTCCTCAGGGGGTCAGGAGAGGGGATGGAAGGGGAGGGGAAAGGATCAGAGGCAGATGGAACAGCATGGGGGTGGGGTGCAAGATCAGGTAATGATCAGAAATGATTAGAAATGACCAGCTTCCCTTGACAACAAACTTCACACATCCACACAGCATACAAGCCTCAAACCCCGGTGCAGCTGGTGAAGTCCAGGGATGAAACCCAGCCAAGTCCATCTGTTTAAAGTGCCCGCAAGCCCCCTACTGAGGGCGGCCCCTCTGAATCCTGCTAACGAATGCTATTCAAAGCGTTCAGAGATGAAGTCATGAGGATTCTTTCAATACAGCTTAAATTTCATGTAACCTGAAGCTTCGACAGAAGTAAGTTTCTGCCTATGGGTAAAAAAAACACAAAAACCCAAACCCTTCCTTTCTACCCTCTCTTTGATCCACTGACAGACAAAGGGGACACGTTAGCGAATGGAAGCAATGGGATTTAGGTCCTGGGTCTGCCGGGTGTTTACTTTAGAATTTGCAGAAATAAGGGTAAATGGCAGTGCCTGGCTGCAAAGTGGGAAGTACTAGAATAAATGAGTAAACACCAGAATAAACACCAGAAGGGAGAGTCTGGGGTGCCAACCCAGGGCAGTGAGGGCAACTGCGGAGGGTGCTGGTCCTCTCAGGGCTCTAGGGGAAGCCCTGAACGTCCTTCTAGAATCTGACACTGTCCAGATGGGCTCCGAGATTCCCACTGGGAATAAAGAGGAGCACGGAGGGGGATCATGCAGGCAGGCAGGAAGCTCATAGCCTCAGTGATGTTCACAGGCTCTGGGCTGGGCTGCCCTCCCTCAGGAATGGGACAAGCCCTGTGGGGCACAGTGTGGCCAGCCTGCCCTCCTGTCCACCTCTGAAGAATGACCGCAAGCTATCTGAAAGAAGGAAAAAATTGACGGATCTTAAGAACAAGGTTGCCCTTGAAGGAGCTCAAAGCCCCGAATCCCTTGGGACCTGACACCTCAGTGTCACTGTAGGGACACATTTTTATCTGATTGGAGAGTGTGGTGGTTAATTTTTATGGGCCATGCTACCCAGATATTTGTTAAAACATGATTCTGGATGTTGCCGTGAAAGTATTTTTTAGATGAGATTAACATTTACATCAGTAGACTTTGAGTAAAGCAGATTACTCTCCTTAATGTGGGTGGGCCTCATCAAATCAGTTGAAGAACTTAAGAGAAAAGACTGACCTCTCCTGAGCAGGAGTGAATTCTGCCTCAAGACAGCTTTTGGACTTGAACTGCAGCATCAACTCTTCCCTGGGTCTCCAGCCTGCTGGCCTACCCTGCAGATTTTGGACTTGCCAACCCTCACATCCATATTGTGTGATCCAATTTCCCAAAATAAACCTCTCTGTCTCTTTCTCTCTCTCTCAGTCTATAAATGTCTCTCTGTATATCTCCTATTGGTTCTGTTTCTCTGGAGAACTCTGACAGCTCATAGTATGTTGAGCTGACACAGAATCGATTTTCTTAGTTCAGCAAATCATTATTAGCCGCCCTCATGTGTCAAGGGTTCTCCCTTTGACCTGCTGAGCAGACAGGCTCTCCATTCTGTAGTGTGTCCACTTCTATTAGGGATGTTGACTCGACCCCTCCTAGATGATGAATCTGCTTATGAATCTGCCCTCAATCAGCAAAACACACTGTACGCAGGAAGAGACCCAGGCACCCATTGCTGTCCAGTTGTCATCAAAAGTCCTGCTCTGAGCACTATAGTGTGTGGATTCATGGAGAATTGTTTGAAAGTCCGTTTCTTCTGAACAGTCTCCATTCCCAACTTGGATTAAGCCAGAGGCAGGAAGCCTATATTTCAAATGCTTTGTTACTGAATTACACATGGGCATTATGCCAATAGTCAGCATTGAGAGATGGTATAATCAAGAGTCAAATAAAAAGAAAGAGTCAAAGCTTAGACAAGGTTGCCCATTGGTTAAGAGGATGGGCTTTGGTGCCAGACAAAACCTGGTGTCCTCTGGCATGTTCCTTAATGTGTCTCTGCCTCAATTTCCTCACCTGTAAACAGGCATTCTTACTCACTTCACAGGCTGGTTGGAATGATCAGATGAGATGAAGGAAGTAAATACCATGCCCCATAGAGCAGGTGACTAAGAGATGTTAGCCCCTCTGTGCATGTTAGTTGGGAGGTAGAGACCAAGCGGTCTCTTGGAAGACATGGTCCCCCTGAAGAAGGGGATGTCTTCATCATGCCTGGGGGTGGAGGAGATGGAGGAGGCATGATGAAGAGGAGGCTGGTACTTTCCAACCAGACTCACTGGCACCAGAACTGCTTCCTAGTTCTGTTTTTTACCGTAGAACCCTGCTCTCTCCCATAAAGCCAACACAGAGCCTCCAACCGGGGCTTATTCTTCCTTGCACAATTTAACATCCACTCAGGCGTGTCTGCAGCTCTGAGCCAATTGAAGGCATTCTGGCCGGATGGTGGAGGGCTAAGCCGATTACTCCACACTGTTCTGATCTGGTTTGGAAAGATGT